GAACTAGTTCAACTGATGGATGGAAATTAGAAAAGTCAGATTTAAGTTTAAAACAAGGACAAGATTTTCAATGACAAAAGCAGCTCAACCATGGAAAGACCAGTTTCATGAGGTTGAAAAGGGAGTTTGGAGACTCACTGGGCCTCCTGGAAAGGAGCTTCTCCCTTGTGGGGGAGGCCACAGTGGAAGACCTTCAAGGTCCTTTCCCACTTAACAATTCTTTAAAAATGCCGAAGTCCCTCTTCGCCATCATATCACACTACAGAACTGATTCTCTTACTGGACTTAGTCTCGAGTCCAGGAGGACGGTTGTGGCTGAGATGAAGGTTGTATGTTGTTGGCGAGTGGTTGGTGGCTAAGGCCATGGGTGTGTGTGTCAGGTCACTCCAAGGGTGGGAAGAGGGGAGCTGACTGAGGATGGAACTCTGAGATGCTCCCGTGCTCATGGGGCAGCTAAGGAAGAGGACAGATGGAAGGAGCCTGAGAAGAAGTGAGGAGGCTGGAAGGGGAGCAAGAACGAGCCAGGATACGGAGGGTGCAGAGGAATGACCCAGAGCACCAGGAGACACACAGCGGCCAGNGGGTTGCGATCCGTTGCCGGACACGGAAAAAGACAAAAGACAAAAAAAAAAAAAAGAGTTCAATTATAGGTAAAAGACAGTGAAATAAATATTTTAACAATTAATTTACTATTTAAATCTATTTTACAAAAAACATCATTTCCAATTTAAATTGTTTGGGAACTAATTTATAATCATTTTAAAGATTGTGTTTCTCCCAAATTCCTGTAAACAATTTTGGATGGTGAAATGTAAATACTTAGACCAAATGATCACATAAAAAATTAGAAATATAGATGTTTTGTTATTATATGTTATTATTTTAATAGAATATCTGTAGAATTATACTTTCAGAAACTATAAATTTTATACTGATGTGTTCTTTTCTTTTGCAATGAAACTAAAAGTAACAGTTAATTATCAGGCTTTGTATCTGAGAAATTTCCTATATTATTCTGGAAAAGTATATTCAAAGCAAATGCCAGGTACCTTGTTTTTATTGAAAATTATATGAATTACTAAGAAACTTACTGAAGAGACTTGAAATCATGAAACTAGTTGAATATTATGAAAGGCATTACATATTTTAGTT